GCGGCGATCTCCCCGCCACTCACGAGGGCGGGCGGAGGCTGACGATGAAGTCGCCCAGGTGGAAGCTGATAATTGCAAACTTGCCACAGTATTAACCAGCAAAGTTTGGGCTTTGGCTCTTAAGGGCATGTTTGTTTGCCTAAAAAAAATTGAAAATCAAAGAAATGAAAAACTATTAAATCAAAGAATTGTTTTGGGAGTGTTTGGTTTGCTAAAAAAAAAAGAAAATCAAAGAAATGAAGATGAGTTGTCACCTTATTATAGGATGATGTGAGTGATTTTTTAAGAAAACTTGTTTTGATGTTGTTTGGTTGGCGAAAAAAAAATTATAAGAAACTCATTTCTTGTAATAGGTTGTTTTCTTTTGCTTGGTTATTTTTTAAAAATAAGAAAATATATAAGATGAGATGAGTTGTCATTATATTATTGGATGATGTGACCCACACTTAAGGAAACTGTTTTCCTAGCTTTTTGGGAGGAAAACAAAAAAATGAAATATTAATGAGATGAGATGAGTTGTCACAATCTTATTGGATGATGTGAGTAATTTTTAAATATGAGATGAGATGAGTTGAGTGATGTTGTGGATGAAAATAATATTTTATTAGATGTGGTGGATGTGATGGATGAGTTGTTGGATGAAAATAATATTTTATTAGATGTGATAGATGAGTTGTTGGATAAAAATAATATTTTATTAGATGTTGTGGGTGAGTTTTAGGGATGAAAATGTGTGAAATTGTACTTTTTGAGTTTTCTTGGTTTGCATTTCTATTTTTTGGTTTTTTAGGAAATAACCAAACAGGAATGCTAGTTGGACAAGTTTGTAATCCTTCAGGAAGAAATCATATAGGCAAAATAATAATAATAATAATAATAATAATAATAATAATAATAATAAATAAAAGTTTAAATGTATCTGAACATAAGTCGGTGATTATTTTGTACATTGGTAAATCTAAATTTTTTTTGTTAAAGTGGTGGATGAGAAGTATTTATTTAGCTAAAATAAAAATATAATATGATGAAACTGGGGGTGAGCATCGGTCGGTTCGGTTCAGTTTTTACCAAAATTTGAACAACCGAACCGAACCACATACAATTCAAACCGAACCAAACTGTTGCAAGTCGGTTCGGTACGGTTCGGTTTGTTTGGTTCTAACTTCATCAATTTAGAGGTGCAAATTCAGCATTATAAAAGATCATGGAAGGTAAATAAATTTAGAGGTGCAAACATATGCAGAGCACAGCAGAGGCCAGAGGGATCTCATGGAAACATATGCAGAGCACAACAAAGGCCAAAGGGATCTCATGGATTGAAGTCACTTAATCAATGTCTGAATAAATTCACACCACAGAGGCACAGCTTGGACAAGCTAGATACAATTCACAAGTCTAAGCGCATACTAAATCATTTTAGATGATAATAAACATATCAAGTTTCAATCAACACATAGCATCATCCGTACTAGGTCTCATTGAATTAATAAGCAGTCGTTTTCTTATGAAATGTTACTGGACTACTAGAAACAGCATTAATTAGAATAACTTGACATTCATTGAATTAATAAGCAATCGCCATCCTATTCCTCATCGCCGCAGTCGCCATCCTATTCCTCATCGCCGCCCTGTAATATACAAAAAAAGCAAATTAATGAGTGCTTGTGTTGATATTCAAGGCAACATATCCTTTCCAGTCTAAAAACAAAACATCGGCTTATCCAAATAGAAACAATTATTACATGTGTTCTTCCATGAAAGCTCTTACAAATCCGTGATTGTCGGTTCAATTGAAAGCTTGCCCAAATCTGAAAGATAAACAAATAAAAAGTTAATAAACAATCAAATCATTTAACATACAAAAACATAAGTGGTAAATACCTATATCTAACTTCTCAAGAGCATCCAAAGATTCTTCAAAGCAAATTTTGCTTGAACCCGGCGTAGCCAACAAGTTTCGAAGCCAATCAGAAGTGCATACTGGGCTTCGTACCATTCTCGGAGTCAATGAGCTCCTAAATAGATCAAGTACTCGGCCACCTATACTAAATGCAGACTCAAAAGCAACTGTAGATAATGGAATAGCCAATACATTACGAACCATCCGAGAGAGAATTAGGAACCTTGCACTATTAACTTTTCAATAAGCTAAAATATCAAAGTTACTTTAATCGGCTTCAACATCCTCGCTTAGAAATTTTTCCAAATTTGATTTTTCTTCAACACTTCCTTTTGCGGCTTTCAATCTTTTGAACCGACTTCTTACTTCGGTTATTTAATTAACATCATCACTATCAATATTATTAGATGAAGCACCAATTGATTGCTCACTTGCATTTATTTCAGTTCCATATTTAATTTGTAGTCATTGAATAATGCAGATGCGACATCTTTGATGAATTTTAACTTATCAACACTTTCTTTCTCACCGTATGTAAGCTCAAGAATAAAAGTCACAAAATCTTCTTTATTTCGTAGATCTAATGAAAGCACTCTAATGCTACTAGGAAAGAACTCTAGTGGGGTGAATAGAGTTTATGCTAATCTAATCCGATTTTATGCTAATTAAAACTAATTAAAAAATATATCCTAACAAGAATGATATATTATAAATATATGCGCAAGGATATACAAGTAACATAAGGGTAAATAATCTAAACTAGATAGTGGGTAATATAAATAACAAGCAATATACAAAGGCGATATAAGATATGAACATAAAAATAAATGCGCCAATGTAATCACAAACAAACGATATATTCACGGAGTTCGGTCCCCACGAACTACGTCTCGGCTCCTCACCTCGAGGAGATCTCTACTATCACTCCTGGTTTTCTACGCTTACCCAAAAAACATTTACACCTCATAATATCGGTTTTCAACGCTCACCGATCAACATTCACAATCACTCACAATGTAACTACACTAACTACCACCTCAAGTGTTGGTCTTTAGCCCGTGTCTCCCTCAAGTGTTAGGAATTACAACCTCTCTTTAGGCATTACCACCTACCACACTCCTCTTGGGACGACCCTGTCTCTCACCACACACTCCTCTTGGTGTACTAGTGCAATACAAAGTGAACCTCATAATTAACGCACGAATACAAAAAAATTGTTCTCTATAAAGGATGAGAACTCTATGTAAGCTCACACTCTAAGTCACAAAGCCACAACCCAAAAATAATACTATGAATGTAAATACAATAAGCTCAATGGTTGTGTGTGAACAAAGAGATTCAATAAAAATAATTAAACTCAATATGAAATCTAGCTTATGGAAATTGAATCAAAACAATAAAATAGCTAGAATTGAGTTTAAGGAAACTTCTCTATAGATAACAAGAGAGAGGGAGAAGAGTGATTGCTCAAACACCAAAGGATGATCTCCACTTTACTCTTGTGAAAATTGCTTCACAAACTAAACAAACTATTAAAACCCTTGTAAAACCTTTCTCTTCAGTAAATAGAACTGAGGATATGTGGGGGTATTTATAGGAACCCCAAAACCAAGAGAAAATCAGGCAAAAAGATCAAAAACCCAAATCTGTAAAAGGCTAAAAAAAACTAGCCGTTACAATATCAGTCGACTGACGGCTTTCATCAGTCAACTAATGAGCTGACTGTTAGAGGTATTTTCCAGCTCATCAGTCGATTGGTCAGTTGACCAAAATAAACAGAAACTTTTTGTTATTTCAGGCGTTTTCATCAATCGACTGAATACAGTCATCAGTCGACTGATAACACTGTATCAGCCTGATTTGAATAGTAAAAACCAACTTTGAAGTGGCTTAAAAAATAGTGATAATCACATTATTACTAATTTATATCCTCATTATCTATTTTTAATGAATAAATATACCACTAATAATTGTTTTTATCTTTAATTACTGGTTAATGAAGAATAAAGCCTAATATCTCTTCTCTCAATAAAAACCCATGAATTAAATGAAGAACACAAGCAAGAGCCAAAAAGTCTAAGCCCAGAATCAAGCCGAGTAGCCTGTAGAAGGTGAAGAAAATAAAAAAAATTAAATATGAAAAAAATGTATTCAAGATAGTTGGCCGTAAAGAAACGATGATATCTCTTAATCCGGAAGGTGGAATTTAACATATAATATATGAAAATCGTCTATCTCAACGAGACAAAGCCATCCGTGAAGGCAGAAATTTGATAGGATATCGATGCTAGCATCAATGCGGGCATCAATACTGATAGTTCTGTTACAAATTAAGGGCTGATTTTTTATGGTTTTGGATAAGATTTCAATCCAATGGCTCATATTCATTGATGTTTACTATAAATAAGAGTAGAGAGTGAGGGGTTGAGGGTATAAAAAATTTTGTATCTTTATTTGGAGAGGAGGGTTACTCTTAATTGAGAAGACCTTCCAAACTTATAATTTTTTGTTACAATTAATAAAAGAATTTTTTCACCACTTTAAAATTTTCTTTTCTTCTCTTTGTTGGATGATGAAGATGGAGATGAAGATCAATTTGAAGGTTTGTTTTTCTTATTTTCTCTTTTATTTCTTTTCTTATTGCTTAGTAGTTTAGATTTATTTTTCATGCTTGTAGTATAGATTTATTTCATGTCTTTATTTTCTCGCATTTAATTCTTGTAATTTATTTTGTAGCTTAGTTTTTACAATTTATTTTATAGTTTAGATTTTATTTTCTTGCACTATTCGCCTTAAGGCTAGAACCCTCTCGGGTTTAGTTTTTCTTTTTGTTCATTTTATTTTCTTTGATTCGCCTTTAGGCTAGCTAGAACCCTGACTTGTTTAGTTTTTCTTTTTGTTCATTTTTTCCTGTTTGAAAGATTTGTCGCCATCTTGTTTGAACGACTTGTCACAACTCTAACTGATGAATTATTATGCTTTTGGCTATTTAATGTTATGCGCATATGCTCTTTTTCTTTTGTTTCTCTTAGGATTTTTAGCAAATCCTCAGCTATCAACGAGTTTGACTTGCCTTTATCAATTACCATTTGAATCGGGCTAGCCATACTATTCCCCTCAGTATGATGAGTTGTCGAGTGGCTTCTTTTAGGCTTAATGCTAAGACTTCTGCTCTAACCTTTAGCCGTTTGAGGTGTATGTTTGAGTTAATTATAACCGTCAGGTCGTAGTTTGGTTGTATCGTAACGACTAAAATGATCGTTACCTGCGGGTACGCCCGAAGGGTGTGTCAATGAGTTGTATCATTTGGTAGGTCTGACTGTGTAGGTGAGACCATTCCATTGACAGCTTGACACATCAGATGAGCTGGACCACTCAAGATTTGTTTTCACAGGCGAACTAGGCCAAACAAACGAGCGGCTCAGGCGAGACTCATTCTCACTGTCGAAGCGAGCTAAACGTTCGCAGGCGAGTTTTGTTTTCGCAAGCAAAATTTGAAATGGTGGAGGTCGAACCATGTGTTTGCAGGCGAAATCCATCCTCACAGGCAGAGTTCGAATTAGCAAGAGGCGAGCCACGTGTTTGCCGGCGAAGCTTTGTGCCTTCTAGCTAAGGCCGTGTGGGCTCATCAGGTCGCATTAAATACGATTTGACAAAGCAACGTCGCTTCTGTGTGCTTCGCTTGATGACGAATCGTGGCCGTAGTTTCCGAATCCGGCCGTTAGATTCAGCCGTGAATTTCAGTTTGGGTTCTGGGTTTCGACTTGCCCGACCCGTTCCCTGTTTCGACGGTTTCTCTATAACCGTCGAAAACCGAACTGTTGACAGCGATCTGGGCCGTCGATTTTGATCGTGGCCACGTCTCTCAACTGCCAACGTATTGTTTCTTGAGAGCGATCTGGGCCGTTGATTTTGATCGTGGCCACGCCTCTCAACCGCAAGCGTATCGCCTTTAAATAGACTTCGTCTTCTTCCTTTGAGGACTACTGTGCTCAGGAATTTCTGCTTGCTCGATATTTTTAGAGAGAAAGAACTCTTTCTTCGTTTCCGACTTTTTGACATGGCGTCAAAAGCTAAGAAATGCGTTGCGAAGGGAAAGGGTCCCGGTCGCTATCCTGGTGGCGTCGCCGTCGGTATGGTCGCTAGCGCTCCTAGGAAACACTTAGGTAAGTCTAATGACTCTGCATTGACAACCGATGCTGGGTCGGGAAGATGAGCACTGCTCTTCTTCTTTAGTGGATTTTGTCATTTTTGGTAATTTTCCCAATTTGGGTAAAACTGGCCTTTTTCAGACGGATTCTGCTTTCATTGGGTGAGGGCGACTTCTACTTTGACAGGCGAAATCAGCTTTTATCGGGTGAAGGCGGATTCGGACTTGACAGGCGAGTTCTGCTTTTGTCAAGCAGATTTGCCCCTTGTCTGGCGAATTCAACACTTGCCAGGCGAAATTGGTTTCACCGAGCGAGATTCGCCTATTTGGGGGACTTGAGAGAGTTTCTAACCACGAGAGTGGATTCTGTTCTAACTCTTCGGCTTTGCCTTGCAGCCATTTTTTCTGAAGAGCCCTCCCAAAGGGCATAGCCATTGGTCTTGCTGGAGGTACGGGCTATACGGCACCTCCCCGATTCCCTTTCCTTGATCCTGTGCCCGCGTTCGTTGCCGACAAGCCGAATGAATTGATCAAGAGAGTAACTGATGGGCACCACTTGACGTTGCGCTAGTTGACTACGGACGCAGTGTTGACAGACGAGGCTAGGGCAGAGCTGAAAAAGCCTCAGTTCTTGTTTGGTGATGCCACTGTTGACCCTTCAGCTCTATTGCTTGGGGAGAGCAGGTGGTTCCGTGTTGTGAGTGGAGTTCACTACTACCTTTATAGTATGCCGAGGGGGTTTTCAAATGTCGAGTTACGGTCGCTTGCAGTTCCGAGAACGATGAACTAGACTCCGACCCAAGATGGGGTGACCTGCGGTGTCTTCACGGGCTCGACGGCTGGGTACGGGGTTGACAGTTCCTGCAAGCGTGTGACCACTCTGCATCCCGGCCTGCTGTACAATGAGTTGCCTATCGGGGAGACGACTGCGGTGGCAGATACCTTC